GAGGCAACAAATGAGTGGTGAGAGGGGCTCTGTGGACGCACAGAATGGGCTGACTGATGGGGCCAGGAGGAAGTAGAGCTTTAACAGGTTGCTTAATTACAAGTCCCGCTGGCCGTCCTGCGCCACTCTTGGGATAGGGAAGAGCTTGGGTGAGGGCTAGGTAATGCCTGGGTAGGCCACACTGTCACCCTGCTAATTAGGGTTCCTGGGACTCCTCCCCAAGGCGGGGTCCAGGCCCCCTCCCTCCCATAAAAATCACTCCGCTGCTCCTCAGCCGGGCACTCATTGTACCTTCCTGCCACCCCGGGCAGTGTCTGGGCCCTCATCTCCCCCTCCCTCTACCCGCCCCCTCACGCCCACCGCCACCGGCCCCAGGGATAGCCAGCCCAGGCGAGGATACATCGAGCCTAGAGACATGGGAGTTCGAGGAGCCTTCCACCTTCTGCTCGTGTGCCTGAGCCCAGGTATGGGGCTGGGCAGCCGGCAGGGATAAGACACCAAGGAGCTCATGGAGGGCCTGGAAAGTGGTGTGCCATGTCCCTGGAGGGGCACTGCCCACTATCACCCTGCTGTCATTCCAGTTTGGATTTTTGCCCAGGGGGGCTCTCCCCAGGAGAGCCCTGTGTTTGAAAGTCTGGTGATGTCTCTGAGTGGAACTCTGCAGTCTCCGTGAGCCTGCGGGCTCCCATGTGTGCAGGGACACGTCCCTGCGAACTCAAGCCCTGGGCTTGCCTGGAGTTTCCTGGGGAACGGAGATGGGGTAGGAGTCAGCTGACTCCACTGCAAAGCTGGGTGGGGGCTGAGGAGGAGCCTGGGAAGGAGCAATTTTCATCATTTGACCTGTCTGGAAACAAGTCCCAGAGTGGGCCTATCCCTGGCGAGCAAGGGGCAGGGGAGTTGCAGACCTTGAACGGGCAAGGGATGAGGGTTAGGGTACGACTGAGTGGTTGGTCCTTTCATGGCTAGTGTGGGCTCAGGGTGTCCTGGCACTGTGAGGGGCCCAGGAGGTGTCCCACCAGGATGAGGCAGGAGGAGGGTGGGGAGAGCACTGGGGCTCAGGGTTGGATAGTGTGGATACCTGCCCGAGTTGGGCAAGTCCTGACAAGGGCTGTGTTGTGTGGGTATTGCTGGAAATGGCTCTGCGTCCTCTGGGGTCTGGACTTGGGGTGAGCAGGAAGCAGAATATGGAGTATCGTGTGTGTGTGTGTGTGTGTGTGTGTGTGTGTGTGTGTGTGTGTATGAGACAGACAGAGAGAGAGACAGACAGACAGAGACTGACTGACTGATTCTTTAGCAGGATGCCTGTAACAATCGTACTCATCTTTCTGGAGTCTCGATGACAGAGCCCAGTGGCTAGAGCCCACGCAGGAAGCCCAGGCTGTGCTGGGGACCTGGGGCAACTCCATGTGTGTGTGGTGTGGGTCTGTGGGTCTGTGAGAATGGCTCAGCATTGTGGTTGTTCTTGCGCCAGTATCCCCTGGTGGGAGCTGCCTCTGTTCCTGTTCTGCCTGATAGAGGGCTAGGAGCTCTGAGAGCAGTTCAAACGTTCAGAAAGGATGTATAAGCTGAGAGTAAACACTGCTATTGAGGTGACAGCTCACAGAAGGTCCTCCCAGTTCAACCCCTGGTCCTTTTTTTTGCAGGGGGAAGGAGGCGATTCGTCCTCATTGTCCTCTTCCGCAGAAAGTCCATTTTGACTCCCCCATTCCCATGCCGCCCCCGAAGTCTTTCTACCTACCTTTCTCTTCCACTCTGACCTTCTTCCCTCGCTCCAGCCTCTTACCTTCCCTGGAAGTCCTTCCTCAGTGCGACAGTCAGGTGAGAGCAGAAAGGACTTCCCAAGCTGAGGGAGAAGTGGAGCGAGGAGGTTGAGAAAGCTTCCAAGGAGACAGAAGAGCTGGGGCGAGGCTCATGGGCTGGTGCAGGGTGGAGGCTCCTTCCAGCACTAGCCCTTCCTCTTTGAGCCACACTTTCTAAGCCCTCCGCCACCCCCCAGCTGGGTCGAGCACGCACAGGTGTGGGGCAACCGTGCTGTCTGTCTGGGTGGCTTCCAGTGCCTTTCCCCAAGGAGGCGTTGCTGCTTCCAGCTGGCTCGTGGCTTACTCTCTGCTGCCCCAGGATCTGGCAGATGGCATCAGGATCCTTATCTCAGCAATGAGCGGGTGTTCTCTTGGCCTGGGGTTAGAGTCGGCATCACCCGGTCCGTTAGAGTCCAAGCCGCCAACCTGCCGCCTTTGGATCACCCTGGAGGCTAGTGGGGTTAGGACAAGGCTGGTGGTCAGCCAGAGGCCTGGGGAGCAAGGCAGTGATCCCTGGTGTTGGAGGGGCCCCTGCGACCTCTTTCGTCTTGATGAAGGAAGGCCATGGCAATTCTGAGAATTGCAATGTCTTTAGTGTCGGTTTGTGTGCACAAGCGTGCCTGTCCAGAAGGACCTGGCAGTATATGTAGGAAGGCTGAGTCTGCATAGGTATGTCGCTGCATTTTGAAGACTTGTGTCTACACACTGATTTATTTGGCAATGATGGTGTGTGTGTGATGCTCTCAAGTGTGAATGTGGTCCAGGAGAGCCAGAGATTGGCTGAGCAGAATGAGTTGGAGACTCAGGCTGGGACTCCCGGGGCCTTGCTGACTGTCAACAAAGAAAGCAACAGCAGAGAGAGCTGCCCAAGGTGAGGGGCCCCAGAGTGGGAGGCAGAGCCCATTGTGCAGAGGGTGGGGCCCGAGGCACTCCCACCTCAGCTCCCTGGGTAGGTCCAACCGGTTGGGACTGGGGTTGGCCTGAGGCTTTAGGGTAAAGAGGGAGAGGAGTTTGGTCCTGAGTGTTAGGACCCTAGCAGTTTCACTTGCTATCCACCAAGGAAGCCCATAGGAACTGTAGGTGCCCAGAAGGGTGTGCGGTCCTGCTCAGTGGCTGGGGAGCTCCATGACTCAGTAGGGCGCTGTGCAGGGTGGGGAGGGATCCTGATGGGAGAGAGAATGTGGGGGTGGCTGTATTTGAGCCATATGATCACAGATGAGGAAGGACACACAGTCCAGATGGCTATATGTAGTCAGTCATTCACTATCACACAGAAACATGGCCAGACTCCTGGTCACAGCTGCCTGTCACACACAGGCACAGGTTCTTCCACAGGCAAACATGGCCTCAAGCCATCATACATGGTCACACAGACACACACTGTCACACACAGGCATGCACACCGCCCCACATGCGTGGTACATATAGATGTACCCAGAGTTTTGCCCCTCAGTAGGAAAGGGACGACCTTTGGTCTCTAGGTAGGAGCACCTCACTTGGTCTAAGCAGAGAATTTCACAATGCTGTGTGTGCCACATGCCTGCCTTCTGATGGACAGATGGGCAGGCACCCTGCTTAGTTATATGCAAGCCTATTTTTAGAGTACATATACGCAGCCCCAACTACTCAGGCACACAGTGTACATACATGTGTGTATTCCTGCATACATACAATCATGTATATGCCTATGCCTACCTAGAAGCTATATACACACAAATGTTATCCAGATGCCATCATACATAATCATAAAACACTTACATGTGTGCATAAGCACACGCAGACACTATCATCTTAATATGCATGCATCTATGAGTACGCAGTTCCATGTAAAACAACTCACACTCACGCATCCTCAGAGCAGCCCCTCTGAGCAGCTCAGAGTGAGGAAGCCCCGCTGAGTGCCAGGTTGCAGTGGGTAGAGAGGCTGAGCCGACTACCTGAAATCTGGTTTTCTGCCTCCACCCCCACCCCCAGCACTGCTGTCTGCTGTGCGGATCAACGGGGATGGCCAGGAAGTCCTATACCTGGCAGAAGGCGATAACGTGAGGCTAGGCTGCCCCTACATCCTGGACCCTGAGGACTATGGTCCCAGTGGGCTGGACATCGAGTGGATGCAGGTCAACGCAGACCCTTCACATCGAGAGAACGTGGTGAGTGCTGGGCACGGGCTTCCCCTCGCCCCCCAATTCAGGCCAGCCAAGGAAACCAAGACTTTGAACTTGCTCCAAGGCCTCACAGGGAGTGGGCGGCTGGCAGGCGAGCTCTGCCAGCCTGCTGGCCTCTTCCCTGCCAGTGTAGGAGGAAGAGGCAGAGTGGCCCCTGTCCTTTACAAGGTCCTTATCTGACCTGAGACTTTCCAAAGACCTTAATGGCACCTGATCACCACACCCCCTGCAGGCGGTCACTGGATCAGACCTTGCGCCTCTGATTACCCAGTTGAGGAAACGGAATGTCCAACCAGTTCTGTGATCTGCCCACAGCAGCCAGCCCAAAGGGTCCTCCTTGGCTTCATCTGCCTCACTGTGGGTTTCCCTCTCTCTCTCTCCAGTTCCTTAGCTACCAGGACAAGAGGATCAACCACGGCAACCTCCCCCACCTGCAGCAGAGGGTCCGCTTTGCAGCCTCAGACCCCAGCCAGTACGATGCCTCCATCAACCTCATGAACCTGCAGGTATCCGACACAGCCACCTACGAGTGCAGGGTGAAGAAGACCACCATGGCCTCCCGTAAGGTGGTCGTCACTGTCCAAGGTACAGCCTGCCTCCTCTGACTTCTGAGCCCAGGGTGGCTTGGCCACCCTGAACCTAGCTCTGCCTCTTGGTTGGACCCTATCTTCCATATACCTACTTCCTTACAGCTCGGCCTGCGGTGCCCATGTGCTGGACTGAGGGTCACATGACACGTGGAAATGACTTGATGCTGAAGTGCTATGCCAATGGGGGCACCCAGCCCTTCTCTTACAGGTGGGCCAAGATCAGTGGACATACCCACCCCTACCGCGCTGGGTCCTACCACTCCCAGCACAGCTTCCACTCTGAGCTCTCCTACCAGGAGTCGTTTCACAGTTCCATCAGTCAAGGTGAGGGGCTCTCAAGCCTGCTTGGGTAGGGGAATGAGTGGAAGTAAGATCAGGGGCTCTGGGAGCCTCTGGAGCTTTCCTGGAGCCAAGAAGAGCCTGAAATGTCTGGGGGGGAAGACCTGCCTCTCTCCCAGCAGTTGCTATTGAGAAAAGGAGAAGAGACAGATGTGGGAGTTATGCACAAATGGGATGGCTAATTTAGGGGGAAAGCAGTCTGAGACAGACAGAGGTGGGTTTGAGTCCTGGCCGAACCACGGCTTGGCTGCACAACTCAGGCCAGTAGTCTCTCTGGGCCTTGGCTTCTTCCTATGTGAAAGGGGAATAACTCCTGCCTTCCAGCGACCTGCGAAGATCCACTGGGATGAGGGGGGTAAAGCTCCTGGACTTAGAGAAATTGATTATTCCTCACAAACTGAAACCCTCAGAGCAAGGAGGCTTAACCCTGTCCTCACTGCACAAATGAGGCGACCAAGGTCCAGAGAGGGGACTTGATTTCCCTGACATCATCGAGTGAAGGAGGGGTGTCTCTGCCCTGTTTCTGGGGGAGGGGTGTCTCTGTCCTGTTTCTGGGGGAGGGGCCCTTCCTTTGAACAGACAGAGAGGAGTGGGTCGGCGTGTGGACACATGTTCCTGAGGATACAGCTTCCCTTCCTCCAGAGGGCGAGCCGCCCACCCACAGGAGCCCAGGGTGGGGAGGGGGTCCTCCGAGACCAGTCTTCCAGGACTCACTGCTCCTCTCTGACTATCCTGTAGTCACAGGCCTGAACAACGGGGACCTGTTGCTGAAGGACATCTCCCAAGATGACGACGGGCTCTATCAGTGCACAGTGGCCAACCACGTGGGCTACAGTGTGTGCGTGGTGGAGGTGAAGGTCCCAGGTAGGTGCCCCGGCCTGGCCTGGCCGGGGGCTGGGAGAGCTGGATAGGGAGGCACCTGGGCTGTACTGGGGAGTCTTGGCTGGTTTGGCATGCCGTCTCACAGGTGGGAAGCCCCAAGGGAAATGCGCAGACCTAAGTGGTTAGCTTGCATCTACCCAGCACCCGGAGGACTCCTTTGCCCCCCAGCCTCTTCCCCACAGATTTCCTACCCTGGCGCCTCCAGCGGAAAAGCCTGACCAACGCCCCCCACCCCTCCTCTCTCCACAGACTCCCGGCGTGTGGGCATGATCATCGGTGCCGTGCTGGGCTCTCTGCTCATGCTGGGCTGCCTGATGGTGGGCATCTGGGGGCTCGTCTGCTGCTGCTGCGGGGGCGCCGGGGCTGGAGGCGCCCGCGGTGCCTTCGGCTACGGCAACGGCGGCGGGGTCGGCGG